TCCAATACTCGGAAAACTAAAGAGTGAAACATTGAGAATTCGAGTCAAATGACTCTGAATTAGAGCTCAAAGGCTATGTTCTACGTTGCAGCCAGGCGGTATCATTGCCTGTGTGTGGTTACGTAAGATTTATCGCCGGCAACTGCAAAAATTCGTGTCTGACACTGCCTCAAGCCAACAAATCCTTTGGTAAAATAAACGAAGATGAGAGGCCCAGGAATTAATTTAGAAGACGCTGATGCGATCGCTGAGACAAAAACTTTATCCGTCTGACGTTTCGTATTCCGTCGCGAATCCATCATCAGAGACAATAGTATACCCGTTCTTTCTTTTGTATTTGATGTTTGATCCGCAACAGCACCCGAAACGTCAGACAAATAATATTTTTCTACTAGCGATTGCATTTGCTTCTTCTCAATCCATCTAGTCTCAATAATCTCGGAAAATAAATGGCTTACTTTAAACCTTACAGTTTCCGATCAGTTTGATTTAATTTCACTTATATTAAACTTTACGTGAATGAAGTAATTACAAGAATTTCACAAGATACGCATAAAGGGTAAGAGAATATTTTTTTAAAGTGTCACCTTATATACATCGAAGGTTTCAATACACGCGTCAAAGGCGCTGTATAGCATATTCAGCAGATTTACAATCTCAAGAGGCGTGGAGTTTGCCGAAATAAGACTGAAGCCCACAACGTCACTAAAGTAGATTGTTGTGTCGTCGAAAGTCTCTGGTGCAACTTCTTTCCCCGCGATGAGAGCCCGGGCTACAGAACTTAAAAATACATAAACGGATATATATGTCAAGAGTAAAATAGCACTCAAAGCCAAGAAGAGATGTAGACTTTCTGTTTCAGATAAACTCTATTGCAGCTGGTTTTCGCCCACTGTCAGGATGTGTGGTTACAAAAAGTGCCGTCCTTATAAAAATAGGAAACAGTGAGAAATATTTTTCTCTTCGTGTATTTTCCTTGCTTTTTAGCTCTGATTAAGTGCCAATTTAATTAAGAGGCAAGTCGTTGGCGGAAAAAGGTCCTTGTATTAATAATATTAGGATATTTCCGAATTAAAATGCGTTCATTTTCATGAGTCGAGCCACATCTCTTGCACTCTTGAATGAAGTCTGATTACTGTGCGTCGAAACCTTTAGATATTTAAATTTATTATGTATGGTCTACACTATAGCTTAAGAGGTAAATCCCTCTTTCTTTCTGCCTACGTTTTAGCATATGTACCCTATTTCCCGCGTTGCAATGCCATAGTTACCAAAGAAACAAGGAAATGACTGCCCTACGTAGGACCAAGCAAGTCCCTATAATTTTCACCTGCAACTGATATCACCAAGCTAAACTCCCTCAATCCATTGTGCGCAAATCATGCTGGAATTTTTTTGCCACCTATTACCGGTGACGGACCAATGACTTGCAACTTGTTACATTAACGTATCCGTTGGCGCCAAAGTTTTACCAGTGTCTGTATAAGTGCTTGAATAACTACGAAATTCCAGGGTTTCTACGCTCCTCCCTCACCTTCTCTAAGATGCCCGATTTCGCAGTCTTGCTCCACTCCTGTATTGTCAGTCTCCGTACCCGTACGTCTAGACGGCGTACCCTAGCTGTACAAGTGAACATAGCTGCCATCGTGAGGAGGCATTGGTGTGTGCATGCGTCCGTATTATACACATAACACAACTGAACTTTAAACAGGGTGTCCCAAAAAAATGTATACAAGTTTTAACTAGTTGTAAACTTGGTGTTTAGCATAATTTTATTATTTTAAAGATGCAAAAATATTTACAAGCATCATTTTTATGATTTTTCACTGCCTTTTGACTCTTGCAACAGTGGCTGAATTGAGAAAAGCCATTTAACATGAATGCACACGAATACCAAGGGAATTGTTTCATGATGTGTGCGGCTTCATTGCTTCGCGGTGTCAGTCGTGTAATGATCAAAATGGACATCAGTTTAAGAACATTCAGTGAAAAATAACCATAAAATTATACTTGCAAACATTTATACATTTTTTTAAATAGAAGGTG